GTCCCAAAATAAGAAATTTAGTACATGGGCTGGGTATGTAGCCCAGGGCAAAGGTCCTGGATTCAATCCCCAGTACCACCAAAAAAAAAAAATATATATATATATATATAAATGGACTTGTGGTGCAAGCAGTAAGATGTTTATAGGAGAATTTGGAGAAAAAATTACAAATACCATTGTGACATGGATGCAGCTGTGTAAAATTCTGAATGCTTGATAAAGATTGGAAGATAACATGTAGATGTAGGGGACTGGGGAAGGGGACGTTACCAGAACCTCTGCAGTGAGTCCTGGTCTCCTGCGAGCCACGGCAGCACACGGCGTATTACAGGAAAGGTAGAAAAATGAGACTGAGAAGAAGCTGAGCTTCGGGTCTGATCAGTGCTGCTCTGGGCAGCAAAGACAAAGCCCCCAGTTTACCACACCTTTTATTCAGTACATCGGGAGAAACAAATGTAACAAATGACTTGCAGAGCGTTCAATAGTTCACATTGGGATAAACAAGGTGTAACGGAAGGCTTGCAGAGAGTTCAGTACATCTCCGGCAAACAAGATGTTAATCAGTCCTAGAACAGTGAGGAACTGAGCAGATGTTTGTTTTCCCAGGATGTTTCTTGTCCTGGAGAATCACAGCATCACTGGATCACTGAAGTCTCAGTTGTGACCGGAGGCCAAACTGGAGTTATTCTGTAGCTGGGCTGTAGGCAAGAGAACTAGGCTAACCAAATGATTTATCCCTAGAATTATGTAGCATTGCTCCCAACATGTAGATATATAAATAAAGACATTTAACTGATAAAATTTAAGCATGTTTCATGTTGTGGGGTTTTTCTTGGCGGGGAGGGTGTTTTTAGGTTTTGGTTTTGGTTTTGGATTTTGACAGTCTCACTATGTAGTCCAGGCTGGCCTTGAGCTCACTATGTAGCCCAGGCTGGCCTCAAATTTACACAATCCTCCTACCTCAACATCCCGAGTGCTGGGATTACAGGGGTATGCTACCATGCCCAGCCCTAAGCATGTTTTAAATAAGTAAATATATTGTACTTTTTAAAGATTTCTGTTTTATAAATGGGACTGATTTGAACTGGTTTTCTCTTTCAGATGAAAGAGATGGCCTAAACTGGTGAGAACTGAAAGATAAATTGTCTGAAATCATGTTTTTAGTGAGGTATCCAGAATTTAATGCTAGGCTCCTAAAGAATCGCTTGCTGAAAGGCAAGCAGAAAGGCACTTTGGAAGGTATAATCTTTGTACACAGTGACTCTCTGTGAGGTCTCAAGGAAGGCAGGTGACTGAGGGAGACAGAAGCCGAGGACAGAGCTGGCCTTGTAGGTGTGGAGCTGACGCCCCACCCCAGGGAGAAGACCAAACGCAGGGAAAGTATAAATGCCCCACTCCTTGTTTTCTAAAATCACATTAGATCAGTTCTGTTTCTTTTGGCAGTCATATTTCAGACAACTGTTTTTCTTTGCAGCAGTAATTAATAGATCCTCTTTAATCTGTTTTTCAAAACAATTACTCAATCCAGGTGTTCTGGTGCACAGCTATAGTCGCAGCACTTGAGAGAATGAGGCAGAAGTATTGCCAGGATTTTAAAGCCAGGTTGGGCTATATTCAAGGCCAGTGTGAACTCCACCTGAGAGACCCTGTCTGCAAGGTGGAGGGGGGACAATTACCCTAGTCAATTTTTGCAACTACTGTTTTGATTTCAAATCTCCTTCAAAACGCCGTTATTAATGATTTTTTAAAAAGTCATTGGCCAAATTCTGTTCATAGCAAAGCACAAGCTTTTGAACCATGTGAAATTATTTATGAAAAACAAATTCTAATCACACCTGAAATAATCAGTATCTTAAAGCAGAATTGCATCTTATGAACCCTCTGGACATTAATTCCTTCTCCATCATCAAGCCAAGTTTTTTCCTTCCAAGTCTCTGAGTATATTATTTAGCATTTGTCCCCAGTGACTATCATCTTTCTTTGATGATCTATTCCTCTAATTTCTTAATGTTATTTTAAAATGAGATTCTTGTTCTCTGAGGTGTTAGCAATCCCACACACCTCAGTGGCATCAACAGATTTAATGATCATAATCTCTTTTCCCTTGTGAATCATGAATAAAATTATTAAATTATTTCAATAATAAGCCTTTTTATGACATCATAAAATATCCCACCCTCGTAGTTCTTAGCCCAAACACCCCTGAACTGTTTGAATATAGCCAGCTAGAAATCTATTTTTCTTCAAATCACCTTCCTAGCTGTTGATCTTTGCTTTATCATGTTATACATAAAATGTTAAATTATTTCATTCTTAATGATGAAATTGTAATGGTACCTAGTCTCTCTCATTCTTAAAATTATCATTTTGAATTATTGGCCCCTAAAAAATTACTGTACATATCTACATATCTAACATTTATCCTGAAGCTAAGGCAAACTTAAATTACTGATGGAAACTAATTCTTGGTTGTAAGCCTGGAAGGATGTCTGGACTTTTCTGCCATTGTACCCTGAGGGCTTACTGCCCGGAATATAATAGTTACCAAGTAAACATTTGCTGAATGGCTGCTGAGTGAATGAATGAGTAAATAACATACTATATCCCACAGTGGTGCCTATACCCTGTTCTACTCATAAGGCATGATTTACTCTTTGTTCCTGTTATTCATGCCTCCTAAGTATATTTTTAATCAAATGGTTGTATCTTCCATGCCTTGCACCCTCTAGGTTGAAACAAAGACTCAACTAGGGTAATCTTTTGACTCTCAGTTGGGAAAGCTAACTAAAAAGGCCCTCCAGGTCATTCTGTGGGTGAGTGTGCTCCGCAGTGGGAGCCTTGGATTCAATTATTGCTCCCAGTTTGTGGTGCCGGCAACCACCTGTGCCAGGGAGAGCCAGTGTGACTTATGCAGAGGATGCAGCCTGGGACCCCTAGAGCAGCCTGTTTCCTTCATTAGAATGGGTTTTAAAAGTAGATCTGAATGTAGTGCTCTGCACTCATCTTAATATACAGCAAAGAGGCATGGTTTTCCAAAATTATGGTTTTTTGAGAGAAGAAAAGAAGACACTTCAGCGTACTGAATATAGTTTTAGTAAGTTAGAACTCTTTGTCACTATCTAGATTTATATTTCCTAGTTCATACACTAATCCTACAGTCTGATTTTATGCAGATTTGAGGATTTTGTTTTGTTTTGTTTTTGTTTTTTGAGTCAGGTTCTCACTGTGCAGCCCAGACTGGTCCATATTTGAGGATTTTTGAGATTTCAAGGTGTCTGGTCCACCAGAAAGCTGTAATGTTCTTACTTGGTACATCTGAAGCCTCTCACCTTGTTTCCTGCACAGCATCACCAACACTCTCAGCCTCCCCACTCACCACCTCAGGAAGAGTATTGATCTTTGGTAATGTGCTTAACCATCTTTCCTGCAATATCAAGGTGGCCATGCCCCCTCCGTTTTCAAGTAAGATTATTGAGGTAACAGAAGCGATAACGGGACCTGAAACAGCTAAATAAAGTGTAAGATGATAACTAGGGATTGTGGGTAAATAGACCCTACCCCGTTCCCCGAGTCTGACTTTCTGGCTTGATGAAAACCCTTGCCTATTCAGAAGCCCATAATAAAGCCCAAGCCTACCACCAAAGACTGACTAGTTCACAGTGCAATGGTGCCCCCTGTGGAAGAGCGCTCTGATCTCACCCTAGGGAACTTACGCTAACCTGTTTCTTTCATGAACTCCTGACAAGATTCTGTGGACACCTGTTTTGGAAATGTTATTGTCCTTTCTATGTGCTGTGCTTCCTTTAAAACACATGCTACTGTATATATATATGTGTTCAAGACACACTAAGCTACTTCATCAAATGATTCTATCAGATTCTCTCTCTGAATCCTCTCAGGGAACCTAACAGGGTTCAGGTAGTCATTATCTCAGACTGAAGATTCTTCCCAGGTCTGCTGACTCCATGCCATGTGTTCTTTTCCATTGAGCTACTTCTCAGGGAGCTTTAGACATATGCTGCAAAAGAAGGGTGTGCAGGCTCTGGTCTCCTGAGCATCCAGGAAACACTGTACGTTACTCTGTAACAGCATAGTTAAGGTTTCAAACATGTGATACCTGCTGAGTGGATTTATGTTTGCTGAGCCAATGCAATAACTATTATGACTCTTTTAAGCTAGTAAGCATTCTTCACTCAGCCAAGACAGTTTCTTAGAAATAACCTTTTTTAAAAGTTCTCATGGATTTATATGGATGTTGGGAAATGGGAAGAAAGTGTTCAAATGAGAAAGGGAACAAGGGAGGAAGGAGGGAGAAAGGAAGGAAGGGTCAAGAAAAAAAGTGAAAATAGAAGGAAAAATATTGAAATAAAGCTTTTGTACATAGGGAGGGGAGGGGGCTTGGGCGAAGGGATAAAATAAAATAAAATTTATTAATTTTAAAATTTTTTAAATAGAAGTTCTTATCAAGCTGTGTGTAGTGGTGCTTGCCTGTAATCCCAGCACTCAGGAGGCTGAGGCAGGAGGATTGTTGTGAGTTGGAGGCCAGCCTGGTTTATATAGTGAGTTCAAGGACAGCCTGAACTATATATTGAGATCAGGTCTGAAAAAAAAGTTCTCATCAAGCCAGGCATGATAACGCATGCCAATCATTTTAGCATTCTGGAAGGAGCCAGGAGGGTCATAATTTGAACCTAGCCTGGGCAACTTAATGATTTAATGGGACCATGTCTCAGAATAAAAAATAAAAAAGGTTTGAGGATATAGGTCAGTGCAAAGGCCCTAGGTTCAATCCCCTGCAAGGAAAGAAAGCAAGGAAGGGAAGGAGGGAGGGGAGGAGACAAAGTGACAGAGAGTAGAGTTGCGTTCTTATCACAGTCTTCTTGAGGTATGCAAGGGTCTAAATCAACAAATGTGCCTTCCACAGCACCACTCCATAGAAACCCTTGCATCTGGAAGAGCTGTTCAACCTACAGACAGGCTTATGCTTCTGTTGCCCACAGGTTAACATTTTCACTCCATACACTGATTCCTACAACGGCCCCAGTTTGATGCAGTCAATCTGGAAGTCATGGTGAAGTACATATTTATTTCCTTGTCGTTATTCTCGATAGAGAGTTTTGCTATTGTTTGAGGTGCTTTCTAGTAAAGTCATGAATATATTTCAAGCTCATCATGCTAGGATATTTGGAATCTTAAGGTCAGAAGGATGGTGGTGGTGGTGGTAGTTTGGGGCCACTGGTCCCTAGGTATCAGTAGTGTAAAAAAAAAGTACTAAAACCAATGAGAAATGGGGACATGAGAAGACAGTAAGAAATTTATAAGTAAGGTACACTATTTAAAAGTAAAATGTATCAGAGAAACCCAACTCACTCTTACATCATTTATGTATTCCTCGGATAACCCCAGGACTATCTGATATCTACAAGGTATGAGTGCTTTTGTCCCAAAGTGTTTTTAATTAAATAAACTGTATAGTAATTTGTCATGAGGTTATGGAGCTATTTATTGATTCCTCATTAAAAAGCTAAAGGCAAAAGTGCTAACTGCTGCAGTGTACAGCCTATGTATGACATGTTTTGCCTATTGAATTTCTATTAGTTTACTAAAAAAGGTCTAAGTCTCAGTTTTGCTTTTTGAATTTTGATGTGTAGAATTAAGTTCCTCTTTGGAATATGATAATAAAATTAAAAATTAACTTAGAATATGGATAAATCTATGATTATGTATAAAATTGTCAAATTTTCCTTTGAAGACAACCAAGAAGCAATGATTGCTTATCCTTTGGAATTAATCTTAAATTTAATATAATTCCATATTACTAACCTCAGATGCCCAGCCTATTAAACGTTGATGACAGTTCATAAATTAAGGATTAAACTACACATCTTGTTACCTTTAATTACATTCTAAAATCAGGCATGTCTGTTCATGCCCTGAGCTACAAATTGATCTTTGCTTCTTGAAGGAGCAAACACCACCTTGCCTGAATTCTTCTCTGCCATAGTGCCAGCAAATTAGGTCAATCTTTATTATACCAGTGAAAATTGTATACACAGAAGCCATATATACATGAGAACACAGGCATATGTGTATATATGTATACATACAGGTATATATATATATATGTATTTTAGGCCTATATATTTCATAGGGATATATATATATATATGCAGATATGATAATCTGCACTAAAGGAGTTATTGAGTTATGTTCACCTCTTTGTGGCTGGTAGGCAGAGCAGGGACTCATAAATATGTAGCGGAGAGACTAATCTTTGAAATAATTTCCAAAGTCTCACTCCCAACCGGAGACTGTACCCTATCCAGGCAGAGCCTAGTAGGCATGCATGGAAGAGAGGGCAAGAAAAAAAATCACACCAAATATGCCTTTATCATTTGTTTCTTTCTTTTTCCTTTTAGACAGATTAAATTTTAAGTGGTCAAGAGCTAGGGATGTAGCTCAGTGGTAGAGCACTTGCCTGGCATGTGTGAGGCTGTGGGTTCAATCCCCAGCAACACAAAAAATAAAAATAAAATATTCAAGATGACTTGGGAATTCATTTTTCAAAAACGGGCCTGTTTCCAGTTCACTAACAGAGACTTGAAATATGTAAAACACCTTCATAAAGCGCAATGTGAACTAGTCTATGAATGTGTCTAATGGAAGCCAGGTGCATTATGTAAATGCTGTGTGCAAGTTCTGCAGTGATTCCCTCTTCACATCCTGCCAATCTGTATAGTATTGTATTGATATCACACAGTGTCACATACTTTATCTTATTTGTTCTTCACAATAATCTCATGTGGCATAAATATTTTTCTGATTTTACAGATGAGCAAATCTGAACTTAGAGAAGTTGCTCTGTCCAAGGTCACACATAGTGAGGCCCAGAGTTCTCCTACCACAGTTTGCTCGATGCCCTCTGTAACTGTTTTTCATACTATTAGGAAACACAGTGGGAATGAATTAATCAGCAGTAGTCCCCTTAATGGCGAACAGCCCACACTGTTTCCCATTATAAGATTCTTTTAAACGTTCTTGTGTGGCTCCATCTGTAGAGTTCTTTTCCAAGATGCTTGAAAAGTCATCATCTCCAGAACAGTGGCATTGTACCCCCAGAGTTCGTGTCACCTCTGCCCTCAGAGCTGCATGGACTCCGGGTCCTTGGACTCTGCAGTGGCATGTCCTGCCACTCATGCAGAATGATTTTCATTCCACAAGAGTAAACAGAACTTGTTAAAATGTGACCATAGTACTTCACATTGTAGGAATTTTATAGGCTACTGTACAAAAAAAAAACTTTTCCTAGAGAACAGTAAAAATATTAAAGCATGATCAGATCATATTTTTCATTTTGAAGTTAGTAATGTCTACCAACCACTCAAATATTGTATGATGAACTAGGCCTGAGATTGGATTTTTAAAATAGTGAAAATAAGCCAGGCATGGTGGTGCACTCTTGTAATCCCAGCGGAGACAGGCTGAGGCAGGAGGATCATGGCAAGTTAGAGGCCAGCCTGGACTATACAGTGAATTCAAGGCTGGTCTGAACTATATAGCAAAACCCGGTCTCAAAAAATCAAAATAAAATAAAATAAAAAGGGAAGATAACCTAAGGCAATATTTGATCCTGTCATTGTAGGAAACCATGAGTACCACTGCTGTAGTCAGTGTGTCGTTTTGTTTTGTTTCTTGGTTTTTGTTTTCTCTTGGTTCAAACCCAGGGCCTCTCACAATGCTAAGAAAGTGCTCTACCACTGAGCTGCATCCCCAGGCCATGATCTTTATCGTAAAAGAAAATGTAGATATTTTCCACCTCCATTTCCTATTGACATTTGTCCTGCAACCATATGGCATTTTTAATTTGGTGGAAAAAAATGTATACATTGTAATAGAGATGAGTAATTAATCTAATGATGACTTCAGTTCCCTATCATTTCTGTAAGTATAGTTTTGCCCTATGTGACTTGATATACATTTAAATCTGTGATATTTACCTGAAAATTTTGCCTTTGTGCATAGGTACAAAGAGAACATTATTGAAATAGGTAGGTGTTATCTTTTCAAATGAGATTTTAATGCTTTAGGGCTGGAGGGAAGACATCATAGTACATTGGTTAAGAACAAGAACTCTGAATCTTGACTCAAGTGCTTCCCATCTGTTACCTTAGACAACTTACACCTGCCTGAGTTTGTTCCTTTATGAAGTAATATTGCCTATGTCATAGGGATGTTGTGAGGACTGAATATATACGGAGTGATCAAAGAACAATTTTTTAAATTTTTTAGCTTATTACATTAAAAGACATATTTCCAAGAACAATGGGATAAGTGTGTCTGAAGTGACAGGGAGTATTTTGAAGACTAATGGCAAGATATCTTTTAACATAATACATTTTTTAAATTAAATGCTCACTGTATTTTTTGATCACTCCTCATATTCCTGTCAAAAAAATACATTACAGTGTGTCTTCATCCACATTATTCACCAGATCTGACACCATGCAACTTCTGGCACTTTCCCAATTCAAAATAACTATAAAAGAAAGATAAATATTTTGAACTGATTCAAGACTTCAAGGCAACCATGACAGTGCAACTAAAGACACTCGCAAAAGAGCACTTCCAGAACTGCTTCAGAAAATGGCAAGCAGGACCAAGGATGTAGCTCACAGCACTGTGCCTGCCTGGCAAAATGAGGTCCTGGGTTTGATCCCCGGTACCAAAAAAAAAAAATGGCAAGCACGATGGGATAAATGTGTTTGAGGCGGGGGGAGTCTTTTTTTTTAAGGGAGAGTCTTTTGAGAGCAGTGTATCTTTTACTGTAATAATTTTTAAACAACATTCACCATATTTTCTGTTCATACTTCATTTTAGAACAGTGCTGGGTGTACTGTAAGTACTGTACATGGAATTATCTTTATTCTTGGTGCTATCATTACTATTGCTAATTTAATATTAAGAAGCACTCCCATTCTTATTGTCTCTTTCTATATGAATTCATGTGATTGAAGAAATAACTAAACATTCTCTTATTTCTGTCTTCCTTTTTTTTTTTTTTGGTACCAGGGATCCAACTCGGGACCTTGCGCTTGCGAGCCAGGCAGCGGAATCACTGAGCTAAATCCCCAGCCTGTCTTCCATTTTTTCCAAAGCACGGTACTATATTCAGTTAAAATCTATATTTTTTTTCCTCTATAGACTCTTGAAAATAATTTGGAACTCTAAGCAAAAAAGAATGCTTTCTGTGCATTTCACACCTTATAGCATTAGAGAAAGGTTTTAATTTTTTTTTTTTTGGAGGGGGTTGGTGCTGGATATTGAACCCAAGCCTTTGCACATACTGAGCACTACAGCTAACTGAACTATATACCCAGCCCTTAGAGAACAGTTTTAATTGTACTTTTTTCCTTTTATACCAAGTCCAGCCAGGATGAGTGCTGAGGCAGGAGGATCTCCATGAGTTTGAAGCCACCTTGGGCCACATAGCAAGATCCTGTCTCAAAAACCATATTAAGGCCGGGGATTTAGCTCAGTGGTTCCACCACTTGCCTTGCAAACGCTAGTTCCCGAGTTCGATCCCTGGTACGAAAAAAAAAAAAAAAAAGGTAGAAAAAACATATATATATCAAGTCTAGGCACTGAGAAGTTGTTGAGACTTTTCAGTTGAAACACTCAGCTAGAATCTTGGGGTTGAATGGACCGTTAGAGGCAGCCTAGCTCCACCTTCCACAGCAACTAAGAATTTCATTAGTATTTTCTCTGATATATGATCATCCAGTCACTGAGGACTTCCCATAACAGCAAGCTCACAGCTTGTCAAAAATAATTATTCAGGGCCAGGGTTTTAGCTCAGTGGTTCCGGCGCCTGGCTTGCAAGTGTAAGGTTCCAAGTTCTATCCCATGTACCAAAAAAAAAAAAAAAATTATTATTCTACTGTTAGACAGCTCTAGTCATTTGAAAGCTCATTCTTATTTGTAATTGAAATCTGCCTCCCAGAAATTTACCTTGTTGCTGTTTGTTGTCCCCTGAACTATACAGATAGACCGCTTCTTCTTCCACTTAATTGC